GTGACGCGGACAGTGGCGAGCAGCACTGAACCTTTGCAGGCTGTTTTTACGCAACACCCAAATCACGTAAAAGCCCAAACTTCGTTGCTTTTAGCCTCAGATAGACTTCTTGCAGCTTTGGGATGTTCTACCAATGCCGACTTCTTTAGTGGGATTCCAGGTATGGTCTGAGCCCAGAACATGGCTTAATTTAGTAACCTGGTTAAGAGGGCTGGGCGAAAGCAGTTGAAGTGGGATTAGGAACCTCTGCCCGTGTTTGATGCATGAGAAATGGTGTGAAATCTCTCGCTCAGCTATTCAGCAGCAAAATCCGTGACATATTTTCTTTTTTTTTACACTGGACAACAAGGGTGGTGGTTGTGGGGAAAACAGGAGGAGGAAGATACGTTCGCCACCTTGAGTTATTTATAAAAATAATAAAGGCGGGGTAAAAAAATCTAAAAAAAAAACCACAGGGGTATGTGTGTATATGTGGGTCCTCCTGACATGTTAAAGTATTTTCAGCCATTTTTGGAGTCAGAAATACCCCTCCAGAGACGTAAAGTCTCTTCTAAGGCTTCATATAACTTCATGGGTGTCCAGGCCGTTCTCGTGGCAAAATACAGAAGTGGTTCGCCATCACCTTCCCTCCGGTTTCCCACACACTGAAGAAGGTTGGACCAGATGAATTTTGGGGTCCCTTCCCGATTCTGTGGTCCGACTCCAAAGCCAAATGTGGTACTAGTCCTGGAGAAATTTTCGTCCCAAGTGAGGACCAGTGAGGCAATCCAAACCTTTCAACGACCCGGGTGAACGAAACGGAATTCTTTAATACGGGAAACAAGAAAAATTAAACATTAATGTCCCCCCAAGACGGCCCCCTGAACCCTCCACGGAATTGGAGCCTAGTCCAGCCCCTTGTGCGAACCCCAACCGTGTTAAGCCAGAGTCTGAAAGGAGCTTGTCCAAACGCAAAAACGGGAACAAATTCAGAATTAGAAAACCAGAAAGGAGCCCGTGGATGTCAAGAGCTGGGAGTTATTAACCTTCTGGTTCATGATTGCCCCCCGTTTCCTGCCCCGAGATTAATCCCCCGTGGCCATGAGGATCTCATCAGCCCCAGATGAGAATGTGGGAGGTCATGAGGATCAGAAGCCTTCCTGCCTCAGCTTCCAGGTCTGATGGTCATCTCTCTATTTGGGGAGAAAAAGGGGGCACATGGGGGCCCTTCCACACTCTGCAGCTTTAAAACATTTGGTGGCCCCGGGCAAGCCATCAGACTCTCGGACGTGGACTCTCTTTTGATCCCGGCCTCCTTGACAGCTTGTAGCCCACGATCAGGGTTTAGCGCTTAGGGTTGGCTTTGCAAACTAGCCAGCATGTCTTTTTCGGCAAGCCGTAGCTTAATGCGCAAAGCCAGCCTCTGCCCACATCGGGGACGTGTTCGTGCTGAGCCCTTTCCCCGTTTCGGATGGAGAACTCGTTCATCCTTATCCCCTGTGAGCCACGCTGGGGGTTTTGCCTTCTGGACGGTGGGAGGCAAATGCCTTAAGTCAATCAATAGCCGTTAGATCAGGTAGCCCTTCCTTGCGGGACTAGATCAATGGCTGCCTCCGAAATGAGTCGTAACTCCTGTATCCTGCCACAACCCACCAGAAATGCTCTTTTCAGCCACGGGAGGAAGCGAATGAGTAACTCTCTGCCACTTGAATCTTGTCTCTTCCTGAAGGGCCTCCGGCATTTGTGGCTTGTTTGAAATTCTACCTGGCTTTTGAGAAAGAATATAGCGGTGAAGATGTTGGTTCATATCCACCCTCAGCTATGGAAGCCTAGCCTACCTCACAGGGTGGGCGTTATGGGGATAAAAGGTAGGAGGATCCCCCTGGAAACTGCTCTGTGACCTTGAAGAACAGGCAGGGCAGGAATCGTGCAGAGGCACCAATAAATTTAAAAAATCTTGCCAGAAGGGCTTGGCTGAATTCATGCATTTGTTGAACCATGGTTTAAGGAATAGCCCACATTATTCACGTGGGTCTATACGACTTGCTAAGCCACAAACCAGGCCATTTCAACCACAAGGTTGCTTGGAGGAAAACCAGGTTCCTAGAAGAAGCCCAAGATGTAAACATCATTCTGGGGGGTTAAAAGTGTTGAGAAAGGTTGGGTTGAACCTTTGCTTGGCAAAACAATGCGAAAAGGAATTGGAAAAGAAACCTGCCATTTTCCAGCCTCATCACCCTGGGGTGCCCTTTCTGCACCCCCATCCAGGGACCCCCCCAAGTTTAGCTCTTCAGTTCCCCCCATCGACTTCTCATGTTGCGGAATCTCTTTC